TTTTTTTTTTGCTGTTACACAGATATTTTTAGAACTTGTTAATTTATTATAACAAACTTTTTTTCGTTGTTGCATTAATTCCAAAATGAAATTGACACATATCATTTCTGAATTTCATTAAAAAATCAAAAGAATGATTTTTTTAGAACTTATTTTCACATTTTTACATTAAAAAAAGAAGCAAAAAAAAAATTTTTTTTGTGCTTTTTATTTGTAGAAGATATCTACAAGCACGATGAGCGTTTCAAATCAACTTCAAATGAATGGTGAAGATGGTGAACCAAACTTTTCTTCTTTGGACAACGCAGTTGCCGAATTGTATGTGAGTAGTACAACAGAAACATCACAGTCAAATATCGGAGCCGGCGGTTGTGTCCGATTTCCAACCGGCGATCTTAGTGCTTTCAGTTGTTTAACAAAAAAAAGTAAGCGAAAGACAAAAATGACCAATTTAAAAATTTAACTTCACATGTCTGTACCAGATCATTGCAGTTGAACTTCCGATATGCAAATTTTTGAGAATTTTTTACTTTCAGCTATCTCACGGCATTCAAATGGGTAAACAACTTTGTTTTTGATCACTAGTGATGAAATATTGGATACTGCAGCATTACTTATGGTGAAAAATCTTATTCTTTATTTTTTTTTTAGTATCGTCTACCAAAACAGTACGTAGTCCTAGTCCAGATACAGCTAGTGATGGCAGTTCCGGTTATACTGCGCCTACTGGATTACCACATCCAAAACCAAAACATAATATACGTAGCCAGTTAATGCAAGCCGGATTCGAGCTTCGTAGCAGTAAGTATATTTTATCGATTACTTCAATTCTATTTCTCAGAAATACATATTCATAACCTACTGCTCAGTTTTTGAATACATCTGTAACATTGAGCAAAGCTGTATTCCAATCTACAGGCTTACCGTATCTACGTTTTTATATAAAACATCATTTGCCAATTTGTCCACCTCTGCAGTAAAAAGAAATATACAGTGCACCAAAAACAAAAAAAAAGAAAAACTGAAAATTGAAAACCCGTTGTTATATTTGCAGCAACTTTCTCTAGTCGAACTACTCAACGGATTAGCAGTTCACCAAACTTCCCAATTCCAACAAACGGCAATGTTGCATCACGTATTTCTGAATTTGAACGTCGCCCGGGCCCACCAAATCTTTTACAGATTGCATGCGCACTGAACGGTGTTCCATACAAAAATGATGTAATAGGGGTTTGAAAAGTATTAACTCTTAGTTGGTCAGCTATTGCTAAATTAAACAACATTTTAACGTTACAGCAAACTGGAGCTCGTTCACCGGTGGGACCTTTGTCACCGCATTCTACCGTATTTCGTACTAAACCAGTCATTTATGCCGATCTTGCTGGGATTTCGACAAAAGCACATAGTGAAAAAAATTTATCGGATAGTGCGCGTGTATTTCAGTTTCCACCGAACCAGCAAGTTCCTCGTGTAAGTGCTTTTGTTTTTTTTTTTTCGAATTGTGCCTCTAACCACCGCTAAACAGTTGGTTAGCGCAAGAAAAAAACAGCTAACTACTAGAATTAGTGATAAGCTTGGTTTCCAAATAACAAAAGCAAAAAAAAAGTTTTTTAAGCCTCTAACAGCATGAAGAAATTCTTTCTTTTGCTTTTTTATATAATTTTTTGATGCTTTTTATTTCATAACCAATGTTTAGCAGGGAAAAAGTGTACTATATGAGTGATATCTATAAAATTTCTGTTCACCAAATTTTCACTTTTTTTTGCTTTATGGTAAATTTCTCTACTTGTCTCTTTGCCATTTCTTAATAAATTTTATCTGAAATGCAAATAACAGTAAAAATTGAAGAGATACAAAGAAAAGGCACATAGATTTTATGCTTTGAAACAGTTTATCGGTATTACCAAACAACAATCATCTTTTCATACTTAAATGTTCCAAAGACTCTAATTTTGGACTGGTCGTCACACTGTATTCTGTGATCTTTAAAAACTCTAATTTGTGCATGAAATTGGTTTGAACATTTAAAATAGCTTTAACCTGTTACCGTCTTCAGATTCACTGCAATAGTCATAAGAATTCCGTTTCTCTTGCACTTTATTATCTTTATCAATCAATGCAGAACTGATTGTTGTAAAGTGAAAATGGTTTGGGAGCTTTGTTCGATAATCTTCTTAATCAGTCAGTCTATGCTTAGTAATCTCAAAAGCCTTAAAACATTGATGGGACAACAGAGAAGGAAGGGAGGAGGAAAGTGGGCGGGTTGCGGAAGACAATGTGTAAATATAGTAAACGAATTGATGGCGATTCTGTGCAAACTATAGTGGTCTCTGTGTAATTGCCAAATTTTAGAGGTGCTTCGAGATTTAACTCTTTAGAACAATGGGCAATCAGGGCTTCGTCGCCTTTTCTTCTTCTTCATTTAAATTTCTTTCTTATATCATTATATGTATCGCGGTATCAGTTGATGTTGGATTCAATTGTAACTGTTTCTGATGGGATGGTGATTTTTCTTTTGCTTTTCCTTGTTTTTTCTTTTTAGGGAATGTTAATTAAATTATAGATTTGACTAACAATTTACCAGTCTTACAGTAGCCTAAAATTGCCAGAAATGCTCAGTACTTGTTAAAAACTATTATATATATAATACATATATAATTTTTGTTTTTATTTTTCTACTTAAACTGTACATTGTAAACTCTCTCTCTTTTCCCTATCTTCTAACTTTCGAAAAAAAAATTGTACTTTAAAAACAATTATTTACGTGAGAAGTTTAATTTAAATATATGTGTATAAATCAAATATTTCTTGTAAATGATTATTTTTGGAGTACAATCTTTTTATCTTAAAAGTTGGAAGGAAAGTTAGAGTTTATAACGTACAATTTAAGTAGGAAAATGAAAACAAGATTTATTTTTTGGCTTTTTTTTCTTGACCGGAAACTAAAGGAAAAAGTTTTTTTTCAAAACTGGATTATTCTATGGTGTATTGACAATGCAGTAAACCATTTTATTGTTGTGCAGAGAAAAAGTTTTTATCAGTTTTCTTCTTTAAGGTGAATTTTTGTGTTTAAAAAGTGTTTATTTGATAATGTTTAGTTGCAGTAACAGCATCAGCAGCAGCAATAACAATAAAAACACCAAAGCATACATTCTTAAAACTTTGTTCTTCTGGAGTATGCAGAAGAATTAGTTACAG